GCTTTGGCTGTGTGTGTGTGTGTGTGTGTTGCCATTGCCATTGTTCTTTTTTGTATGGCTGCCTCTGCCGCACTTGGTCACGTTGCATCCGCATCCGCATCCTGCCACAGCATCAGCCGAGAACTACAGCAGCAACAACTACAGAGGCAGAGGGATTCTGCCTGGCTTCCATCGCAGAGTGTCCTGGCAGTCGTGGCAGTCGTTGAGTGTTTAGTAAGTGGTTTAGTAAACACATTTAGTTATTTGCCAAGCGGCGACCAGGCAAACAGAGGAGCATAATAGAAGAGAGAGCAGAGCAGAGCAGGGCAGGGCAGGGCAGGAGTTGGAGGGGTGGAGAGGTGCCTCAAAGGATGCGAGGATGTAAGGATGTGCGTATGCGGATGCACGCACTGAAGGCCATTGAAGCAGAGGCAGAAGGCCTCTGAACCTCTGAACCGGAGCACTTAATGACACTTAGTGATACTCAATTATCACTACAGCGCGGCTCCGCTCCTCCATCGTCTCCAGCGGCCGCTCCTTGTCCAATTACTTGATGAGGCAGCCATCGGCTCATCCCCTCGGGGGCAGGGACGCCCGCCTGGATGCCCTCCCCCTTGTGCAAATGTAATCCAAAAGTTGAGGCAAAACTTTTTGCTATGTTCCCCCCTGTGCAGTGTTCACTCCTGTCTCCACTGTCTCCCCTGTCTCCCCTGTCTCCCCTGTCTCCACTGTCTCCCCTGTCCCACTCTCCCTCTCTCCCTCCTTCGATCTGCTTGCTGTTGCAGTTTTTGGCACAACTTTTATTAGCTTTCCCACTAATTGCTTCTAATTTAATTAAATTAAAAAACTTTTCCACGCTTTTAGTTGGAAAATATTGTTGATGCGGAGGATTTTTTGGAGTCGCTACTCGAGGGGCAGGCCAGGGCAGGGCAGGCACTCCCGAAGGGTGCGGCAGCGGCAGCAGCAGCAGCAGCGTCCCTGTGTGTCGCATAATAGTTTAGCTATAAATTTTATGCGTCTGCTTGCATTTTGCAGTAAAATATTTTATAATTAAATATTTGTTTAATTAGTGCGAGTGGCTCGCCGCAGCAGTCGCAACGTTGCAACGTAGTCGCAGCCTCCTGGCAAGGGGAGGGGAGAGTGTGGGGTTGGGTAACTGCTGCGGTTCCCAAATATTTCCCATTTAATAAGTGTGCAAAATATTAAATTATTTTCACTGCAGCGTTCGTTCCGTTTCGTTGCCGCTCTCTGCAAATCCAATTTCAAATTAAAGTCTGAGAGGGCGAAAACTGATGCAGCCCCGCGGGCTAGGCAGCAACTTTTTTGCATTTGCTGCTACATTTCGTTGCATAATTTTAAGCGGCAAATTAATTTATCTTGGGGTACAAATTTTGTGAGATTTAAGGGGAACTCTATTGATTATAATCCAACAACAAATCAACTTTTAAATAAATAGAAAAATATAATAAAAGCCTGAAAGAACTTTTGAGAGATTCTAGGCATTTTTAGAGCGAATTTCCTTGATGTCTGGTTTCTGCCCAGAAAACATATTAATTGTGCGAATGCAATTTTCCCATTTTCCCCATTTTTTGTTGCTTTTGTTTTTCCATTTTTTCCATTAGCCGCTTTCCACTCTCTGTTTCTGATTTATGTGCAAAACAGAGCGCTTTCATTATTATCTTTGGGACTATTTGTTAATGTCGATAAACGCCATGAACACGGCACTAAGAAGCTGCGCGCCGAAGGAGGATCCTGCGCCCAAGGATAATTAATAAGCGAGGCCCCCATTCCCCCATCCATTCGCCGTCGCCCACTCGTTGTGTTGCATCAACTTTCAGCCATTTATCAGCTGTTGTCTGACCCCTGACCCTGGCCATATATCAGCTAGCAGCGACAGCGATGTGATGTGGAAAATACGCTAGAAAACCATTTTGGAGGCCAAAACAAATTGTGGAAAAACAGCACAGAAAACAGAGCAGAACAGGGAAGAGAGGAGAGGAGAGCCGAAGCAGAGGCGAACGAACAATAAGTAAAATTAATGAGCCAAATGTAATTTTATAAATTGTAAAAAGCTTCCGGCGCATCCATTATGCATCCCGTGGGTGGCAGCGGGGCGGTGGGGGGATGCCTAAAATGGAAAATGGAAAATGGCAGCTGCTGGACAGGGAAGAGGGCATGGGTCGTGGTTTAGGCGGCACAACAACGGAGCGGACCCAGCTGCCCGGACTGCCAGTGAAGAGGAGATTGAAAAGAGTTGAAGGGCAAATTATAGCAGCCATTTTGCAGGAGAAAGGGGAAGCAGGAGATGAGGCACGGCCAGCAGGCATGGCCAAGGAGGGAGCCAGGTGGAATGGGAATGCGAAACAAAGGGTGAAAGTGGATTTACTTTCGTCTACGTGACACGACCGAGTCCTTGCCCCGTTACGCCGTTGCGGTTGCCAACGCCGCCGCCTGATGCTGTTGCTGATGACTCCCGGACTCCCGGACTACCGGACTCCCCCAGGACCTTCATCTGCTCCTCCTACCCCTTGCAGCAGGAGTCAAGCAGGAGACACGCATCGCAGGGAACGTCTGCAAGCAGATTATCGTACACATACCCACCCACACGGGCACGGGCACGGGAACAGGCACAGGCTCGGGCACAGGCACAGCCACTCGCACGTCCTTGCGTCCTGTCAGTGGCAGGCAGCAACTCAAACATGGCAGTAGCCGGTGCGGTGTGTGCGGTGGGCACCCTTGGCAGCGGCCATGATTTTCGAAATTAATTCAACTTGATTTTGCTTTCTTTTGCTTTTTGTTTTGCTCACTCTCTTCGTCTGCCTGTCTGTCTGTTCATTCATGAGTGGGTGAGGGCAGGGGCAGGGGCAGGGGCAGGGGCAGGGGGAGGTAGCACCGCAGACAAGAAATTAAAATTCATTTCAAAAGCAAAAGCAAAATGGTGTGGGGGGGCAGGGACAGAGAAAGGTTTTCCCATTTGGAATATTTAAGGCGCAAGCCTAAAAGTATGCAAAGGGAAATGCGGCAATGGAAAATGGCAAATGGCAAATGTTGTGCGGCTTCTTGCAACCAAACCAACACCAAAGCAACACCAAAGCAACCCTTGCAAACAACCCTTCTTGGAGCTCAAGCTGCTGTGCAGGGGGGGGCTGCTTTTTTAGGGCGGCTGACTCTTTCACAATGGCCGCCATCGTATCCGTCCGTATTCGGTTTTGGTTTCCTTTTCCTTTTGTCTTTCCAAGCCCGAAATGCCGAAATGCCGAAAGCCTGAAAGCCTGAAAGCAGTTTTCTATTGTTTTTCAGCTGTCATGAACTTTTCCGTTGAACCTTTGTTCCGTTCGCATACTTTTGGCAACAAATTTCCGTAACCCCGTAACCCTCTTCACCTCTGTGAACAAACCCCTTCCCTGACATGCCTTCCCTGCCTTGACAATTGGCTCTGCACACACACACACACACACACACACACACACACACATATTTTATTCTGCTCGACTTAATGCGACGCCGATTGTCATTGCTCTCGACTGTTCTCTGTTCTTTGTTCTTCTTGTTGCGTGTCTGCCAGCTGTCGTCTTTATGGCACAGATCCATTAATATTCTCCGCTCCTCTGATTCTCTATGCCTCAGGTGCAAGCTCTGCTGCTGCCCCTTTGTGTGTTGTCTCTTTTGGTGTGCGTGTGCCCTGTTATCCTTGTCATTGTTTGAGACGCTGCCACATGAACTTGTTTTCTGTTGCTGTTGCTGTTTTCTGTGTCTGTTTGCTACCTGCACCAATTGAGCCGTAAGCTGTTCAATTGCGAGCGGCGCAGCCAAGAGGAAATCTGTAACAAATCATGGCCGCTTTTCCATGCCACTCTCCTCCGCCTCCGCTTTCTGCTCCTCCTCACCCATCCTCCATCCACTTGCTTGCCTCGTGTGCCTTGTGCCCCCTTTCTGTGTCTGCGAAAATTGTTGTGGCGTTTCCATTTTATTTGCATGTCTCCCCATTTTATGTGCACAAGTTTTTAACCCTGGCGAGTCATAAAATTAAAACCCTCACCAGGCCAGACTTGTTCTTCTCCAGGGGGTGCGACCCACGGTCCGTGGCCGTCTGCCTGGTTCCCTGGTCCTTTGAAAGCAGACCCCCCCCACCTCACCATTGGGGTTGCTTCTTTTACTACACCTGAACAGAGCCCAGCCCCATGCCTCCTACGCCGCCGCTGCCGCTGCTCCTGCTCCTGCAAGTGAAATCTGAATGCAAGCCTAACGACCTGGCATTGTCGTTGATAAGGTCCCAGGCCCCGAAAACTGCTTGTCTACCAACTTTTATTTTTTTTTGTACTCAGAGAATGCGAACGAGGATGAGGATGTGGATGTGGATGCGGTGGCTGGAATATCTGCTGCCTAATGTTTATGCAGCAGGAAGCCAGAGGCAGCAGACTCCTCCTGGGGTTCCTGGGCCACTACTCGGGCGGATTCACTCAGTCGAAAAGAAGGTGCTGCCCCCCCCCCCAGTCTCTTATTTATAAGCTAATCGCCCAAGCGAAATTCTTGCCTGGAACAGGCCCCCCCCCCCACGCTGAAGGATACCCACGCCCCAAGAAGTGCCCGCGAATTCTAATTAGCATTTTGCACACTTTTTCGGTCTCTTGAAAGCTCTGCGCTTAGAGCTTTCTGATTTGAAATGTTAGAAAGCATTCCACTGGCTGGCCACCCCTTTGCGTCTGTCGCGTGTGTGTGTGGCAAGGGTTGCCACGTGGTGCGAGCGACAGGCCACAGATGGCGCCACTCGTAAACTTTTCCCATGCATTAGGACAAATTTCTGGAGAGATTGAATGTAATTTTGAAGGGTAGAAAAATAAAGAGGGAGGGAAGGAACCAACCTGTGTTATAGTCTGGCTGCTGCTGCTGCTGCTCCTTGGATCCTTTGGTTCTTTGGGAATTAGCGCAACGATTAAAAAAAGCAACAACAAAAATCATAAAATTTTGCATTCAAATTTAAAGCATTTTATTCAAACGATTAATCATAGAAAGAAAGCATTAAATGTACTAAAGCCAAAAGCAGACTACAAATATCAAATATCTATTGGGTTTTCTATGAAGCATTTCTTAGGTCTAAGGGGGAGGGGGGTTAGTGTTGGAAATCCTCTCGCGGTGGCTGGCTGCGCGCTGGGAAATCTGCAATGAGATGAGAGAACAGACAAAAAGAAGATGAGTTGAGAAACAAGTTAAAAAAATAAAAAACAAAATGTGTTTTGTGTTTTGTGTGTTTCGTGTCCTTGCGACATCGAAGACAAAAAAGCCACAGGAGACGCGGAGCAGAACAGGGACGGGACGGCACGGAAAACCCTGACCAGGCCAGGACATCTCCGCTTTATCTACTTTCAGGTCCGAGGACATGAAAGTTTACAACAAATTAAACTCTTGTGTGCTTGTGGGCAGCAAAGTTGCAACAACATCAGTGGCAGTGGCAGTGGGGGGGCTCTGGGGTGCCATGGGGGAGAGGCAACATCGGGGCAAAGTTTTCGTTTCAGCGAAAAGTTTTAATAGAAAATTTTAGTTAATAGTTTTGTAACTTTGCCGCTGCGGTGGATTTGATAAGGGACCCCGTACTGACCTCCGCACACACCAACAGCAGCAGGAGGAGGAGCAGCACACAACACATGTACGAAACTTTTTGGGGGAAAAGACCACAGAAGAGCAGCAGCAGCAGCAGCAAAGTGGGGAAGGAGGCTAACCCCTAAGCTCGCTCTCACTCTCTCTCAATCTCTCCTCCTTCAGCTGCTGCTTCTCGCCCGTTCTCTGACGACCAGCGGACTGTCTCTAATTAATTAAAATCGCTTTTGTGATGTCGTCGCCGTCGCCTTCGAGCAAACAAATTTCCTGCCAAGCCAAAAGATAAGCAAAAATCCCATCCATATTGCCCTTCTGTGAACGATAATCCGTAATCCCTGAGCCACAGGGTATTGGGTGCTGTATTGGTCCTGCTGTGATTGAGGGATTGATGCTTGAGAGGTTCCTCCACCTCCACCGCCACCTCCTAACGAGGGAAGAGCAGGTCTGGGAGCTTCCTTTGCTCTTATTTGGGTAGAAGTAACTCTCGTGGCGATCCTTTGCTTTAGGATTGCTAATTTCCTGTTTGCTGATAAATAATGCCACCCCCTGCCACCCCAAGCAGCCATAAAGAAGGAAGGACATGGCCATGGACTCATCCTGGCGTGATGTAACTTTAAAGCACCTAAAATATTAAAACCACCCTCAAGTCCCTCAAATCCCACGTCCAGCCAGTAGAATCAGCATCAGGCAGGAGGCAGCAGGCAGGAGGCAGGTGGCAGGTGGCAGGAGGCAGGTGGCGGCAGACGGAGCGAGCTGGAGGAGCAGGCAGCGGTGGCGCTGAAGATAAGGCTGGAAGCAAAGCTGTAGCACGTTCCCTCGGCTGCCAGGATGCGCAGGATACACACACACACACACACGTTGCCAAAGAGCTTAAAATGTGGCCCTAAAATAACTTTGACTGACCCTCCCCCTGCGCCCTGCGCCCACACACCCCTCCCTCTGGGCAGGCAAACAAACCCACAGATTTTTGGAGCGCTCCTAGGATTTAGAGTACACGCCTCCGTCCCACTGGCTGCTGCTGCTGCTGCTGCTGCTGCATGCCACATTTTAACTGCTTGGGGCATACATCAAAACTTTGGCTTACGCTTAGGATTTATTTATTTTCATATTTACGGAGGGCCCCGCACACACACACACAACACACACACACAGGAACACGCGCCGCAAAATGAGTGGGAGGCAGTGGCAGGGGCAGGGGCAGGAGCAGACAAGGATCTCAAGGATTTGCACCTTGTGGCAGGAGCAGAAGCAGAAGCAGGGGGCTGGCAGTGGGAGTGTCCGCCTACATCTTATTCGGGTTTTGTGGCGCCACTGGCCGTAAAATGGACGCAGAACGACAGAGACACAGAGAGAGGGAGGGAGAGAGAGGGGGGCGTGGCGTGGGCATGGTGGCATGGTCTGTGTGTGTGTGTGTTTTTTAATGACTACGTGACCATCCGTACGCAGCAGCAGCAGCAGCAGCAGGAGCAGGAGGAGCATCCCAGGCGGCGTGTCCATCGCTCCACGAAGCGGCTTACGTGTCGTATGCGCGTTATCTGAGGGACGGCATCTTCTGGACAGAGTCCAGTGGCGTGGCGAGGCGTGGCGTCGCGTCGCCCTTCTCAGATTTTATATTTATTCGAAGCTATTAAGAAATGACATTAAAAAACGAAGCGCGCATCCCCCTTTGCATCCCTCCGCTTCGCACCGCTTCGCTCGTTTCTGTATTTAAATGCGCCATTTGCATATTTATTAGAAGGGCAGAGAGAGAGAGAGAGACCCGTGCCACGGCCCGCCTTTCGCTTGAAATTATTAAAATAAGACAGCGGCTACATAATTATTCTCCACCCTCGCATGGCCCTGCCACACACCCTTCGAGAACTCCACATTTATGGCAAGGCAAACAAAAGTTAATTTAGACGCTGCTTACATTTTACAAGCAATTTACCCGTACACCCACCCACACGCTCCCACACGTCCCTCTGGTCGACTCTTTTGCCTCCTGCGACTCTTGTGGATTTCGCCTTTGGCCCAGAGGATTCGCCTGCCACACTGCCACTGGCAACTGGAAACTGGCAGTCGTGTCACTGCTTTGTGCCGCTTCTGACTGCTGAATACTTTTCGTCCTTTTCACCAAACAAATTTGCACTTCCACGCATTCATTAATTTGCTTATTACGAGCGGAAAGGCGGAGAAAAAAAAGCACGGAATAAAAAGGATAAATATACAACTCGCTCGCTCGCTCTCTCTCCCTCTTTCTCCTTCTTTCTCCCTCTCTCTCTCTCTGTGGGGCGATTTGATCCTTATTCCGTTCTTAAAGCTCTCATGGGGGCGGGCCCCCTCAGCTTTAAGAAAAAGTTGATGTAGAAACGGCAGCTGCTGCAAAACTTATGCCAAGTGCCACAATAAATGCATATGACAGCATATCCTTTTGGCTGACAAGAAGCCGCTCTACCCTGCTGCTGCTGCTGCTGCTCCTGCTACTCCTGCTCGTGCTCCTGCTGTTATCCTGGCAGCCAAGTCATGTATAATAAAGTCCACTGCTGTACTGCTGCAGTTTTACATGTCGAGTGGCACAAACAGAGCAAGAACCAGCACCAGAGCAGAGCTAGTTGTGGAGGGAAGTTCTAGCAAGGAATTCCGACAGGAAATCGCCACAAATATAGAGGAAGATACGATGGCGAAGGGACACTCTATATGCAGGAAGAAAATTTAGCTAAAGATTAGAGCTTCCCGAAACAAAACTAAGAAAGTCCATGGCAGCTGGGGAGATGCGGTACCCTGAAAGAGAAGCCCTTTAAGGAGGAAATTCTCTGAATTTCGTAGCACCCGATTACACCCCGAAAAAGCTGCGAGTCTGCCGCTCTGGCAGGGCACACGATCTTAGCCTTTAGATAGCACCGAAATGGCAAATGGAATGCGAATCCTGGATGAACTCTTCGTATGTAGTGTGAGTGCGGATTGTAGCTGCGAGTGGGAGTACGAGTACGAGTACGAGGCATGGCTAAGTAAATGAAAGGCAGTTAAAACTACAACTAAAACGCCAATGGAAGAACTTACGCAGAGTACGCAGAGGAGGAGGAGAAGGAGGAGCAGGAGCAGGAATAGTAGAAGAAGGGGATGCTGATGCTGATGGAGATGGACAGAATACCAAAAAGAAGAGCAGAGAGAGAGGGGAGGGGAGGAGAGCAAAGGACAAGGCCAGTCGCAGAGGCATGTGGCAATTACAAAGCCAAAGGGTTGTGGCATGGAGCAGGGCGATGCGGCAGGGACACATAGAAACTTGCGAATATAAAATTGCACAATTTAAAACGCAGACAAAAGACGGAGTGGGCGGAGTGGGCGGAGCGGACTAGCAGTGGGCGGTGGATGGATGAGGGCGGGGGGAGGAGGTGGTGGTGCTACGTGCAAGAAGGAACAAGCCACCCAGAAGCCCAGAAGTGTCCCTGTGTGTGTGTGTGTCCTGGGTGTCCTGGGTGTCCTGTGCGCCATTTACAATTCACATTTCTAGTTTTCAGTTCAGTTGAGTCATTATTTTATTGCCAAGATACGGAGCGGGGCCGGCAGGGGGGCGAGTCCTTCGACTCTGCGTCGACTCTCCACTGGACTCCCATTCTGCACTGCGCCCTGACGAGGACAACGACAATGTCGAAGGACACACAAGGAGCAGGAGAAGCAGCAGGAGCAGCAGCAGGAGCAGCAGCAGGAGAAGGTGCTGTAGCTGTAGCTGGAGCTGGAGATGGAGAGGAACAGGGGCAACGTCTAGCAGCAACAACACTTTTGCTTTTGCATCATTTAGAAGGGTGGCAGGGGGCAGGTGGAGGGTTGGGAATGTAGTCCAGGAGGTGGTGTTCCTTTCGTTTTCGTCCTTTTTGGACATTTGCGGTGGGATTTTGTTCCCGTTCCCTGTAGCTCTGTAGCTCTGTATGGGTGTGCGTGTATATCTGTCTGTGTGTGTGTGTGTGTGTGTGTTATTAGATTGTTTCCACTGAAATGTTATTAGAAAATTTTAAATTCAAATTCAAATGACTTCATACTTCCTGCCGCATGCCGCTTGCCCCTTGCCGCACGCCCCCACCCCCTTTGGACACTCCTTTTGAGCACTGCAAAGGACGTGCACATCTTTTGTGCACTTGTGTGCATTGCTATCTGTCTGTCTGTGTGTGTTATGTGTGTGTGTGTTTCCTATGTGTGGGTGTGGGTGTGCGTCTGTCTCTTGCATAATAACATGGCGGAACGTACTCCAGTGGATGTGACTGCCGCCCGCCTTCTCCTCCATTAAGCGTAAAATGCTTGGAGTGCAATTTGCGTACGTTGCCGCAGAGTCCTGCTAGCAGCGGAAGGAGGAGCAGCTAGCAGGCAGGCAGGCAGGCAGGCAAGAAGGGGTGTGGCAGTCCATCCACAAGGGTGGATTACTCGGGCATCAAAGAAGGGAAGCTTCCAAGAAGCTGCCACAGGGCATGGGGATGCCAGCGGGTGCCTACCTTGAAGGAAGTTGGGCTATTCGAGGACTCTTTCAATTCGATTAGAACTGCCTCGCATCAGATCTCTCTCTCCTCTGCCCTCTGACCTCCTTGCTGCATTATACAATTTCGCAACCTGCAATCCTTGCCCCTTCCAGCCAGGAACCAACCAGACAGCAGCAGCAGCAGCAGCAGCAGCCGCAAGAGCAGGCGGCGCTGGGTGGCGGTAGGTGGATGGGAGAATTTCAAATATTTCCTTCCTACGTTTGTGGCCAAAGAAAAGTTTCAATAAAATCCAAGCACACAGCACACTGCTGTATCCCAAGCTTAGTCCTCCAGTCTCTCCTCCTGCACCGGTTCGGGCCATGGCCAACACCCACAACACCCACAGAAACCGCAGTCGTAACATGCCAAGAGGGGGCGGGCTTAGAGTGGTGGTGGGGGAGCAGAGATCCTGCAGCGTTGGCAAACTACTATCTGAACTGAGTTTTCAGTTGGAGGGTTCACTTCGTTCCATGGAACAGAAGGAGGGGGGGCAATAGAGGAATGTCGAGGAAACAGAGCGGCAGAGCGGCAGAGGAACTGCGGTAAAGTTGCTAACGTAATCATACAAAACCTTGCTAGAAGCGAGAAGAATCAAGGGGGGTAGCAGTGGGCTCTCCCTCTCTCTCTCTGTCTCACTCTTTGGTTCATTCAGACAAAAGACGACTTTTGTTGCAGTTGCTGCCTGCTGCCTGCTGCTGGTATAAGATGGAGGAGAATGGCAGAACATGGAGAAAGGAAGGAGAGACAGAGAGGCAGAGGCAGAAACAACAGAGGGAGAGAGAGGGAGAGGAGGATATTTTATATTCAAATAAAATGAAATTACATTGTTTTCAGCTGGCAAACAATTTGAATAGAATTTTAACTTTTTACTATTATTTTATTTCAATGCATACACAAAGCCAGAGACAGAGGCAGAGTCAAAGGCAGAGACAGAGGCAGAGTCAAAGGCAGAGGCACAGGCAGTGGCAGTAGCAGTGGCAATGGCAGGCCGAGAGTCCTCCTGCCTGGAGGAGGAACACAAGACGCTGCCGGGTATGAGGCGGCGGGTTCGGTGTGAGGGCAGTTGCTGGACGCAGGACCCTCTGCACACAGAACTTTGGCTTTGGCAAATGGCTGACGAGGTAAGGCAAGGCAAGGCGGCAGCAGCAGCAGCAGCCTCTGCTCTGCCCTGCTCCGTTCTGTTTGGATATTTCTTAATTAGAAAGATTTTCGCAAAAGGGTTGTTCGACAGTCACCAGTGCCCACTCCCCCTGGCTCTGCCTCTGCCACTCCCAACTCTTGTGGACTCTTTCTTAAACGTCATTAATTTCACTTGTAAATTTATGTTGCCCCTGGGTTGTCTGCCCCCCATCCTCATGCTCGTTGGAGAGGAGAGGAGAGCAGGATCATTTCTAATGCTCTGCCAAAACATTTCGGCGCGACCCTTTTTGACATTTTGGGGGTAACCTTTTGCTCTGCTTGGATTCGCATCTAATGCTTCAGGGTTGCCAATTCCTGGCCGCTCCTGCTGCCCCAAAACGTGACATTTCGGGCGATGATGAGGTCCATCCTGTGGCGACTCTGGGGATAATTTATCGCATCGCATGGAAATTTCGGGATTTGGGATTGGGATTTGGGATTGGGATTTTTTAGTTTCTGATGAAATTGTTCCGGTCAATTAATTGTGGAAATTGCGTGGGTCCAACGAACGTTGTTGCCGTTTAAAGCTTTAAGTTTCGAGAATTAGAGAAGCCCCAAAACTGAGAGCGAGCCACGCCCAGGAGGGTGGGGGGCGGCTTGTAATCCCTGCCAATCCATCTGCCATGCAACAAGAGAGGCCTGGCATGCAAGCGGGGGGGTGGGGGTGGGGGCAGACATGGAGACAGGAGGAGGAGGCGTGCAATAGGCAGAATGCAGACTGCAGACTGGCCGACTGGCCGACCTGCCCGACTGGGTTCGGTACCGAATGCATTTTCCCCAAACGAAAATTTCCCAGGCTTTGAAATTGCAAAATGCAGAAAATGTTTTGCCATCCTATTTGGCTTGGCACCGATGCCAGGCGATGGCTAAAAAATTTGCATTTTTCCAAACGAGAGGGAGAGAGCGACACGAGGGGAGGGAGCGCCCAAAATGAATGCACATTGGCACACGCACACAGAGAGACGTCTCCTACATGCTGCACATAGATGCAACTCCACAAAAAATACATAGATGCAGAGAGGGGGGGGGGAGTGGGGAGGGATCCATGTGAATATCCACTCCTCTTACTCTGCCGCTCGCCTTTGCCTTTGCCTTTGTGTTGCATTTTTGCCTAGATTGCAATTTTTTGTCAGCCCCCCCCAATTGAAACTGGAAAAACGCCTCGCAACCAGAGGCAGAGGCAGCACTAAAAATATTGTACATCAAATGTGTGTGTGCATGTGTGTGTGTGTGTCCTGAGTCCTGTGCTCCATCATCAGGACGAAACCAATGCATTTGTCGAGAGCCCGAGAGCCCCAGAGTCAGCAGCCAGAGTCGGAACCCACAGAGCCAGAGCCTAAAATGCAGTTTTTGGTCATGCAGCAGCAGCAAGAGGGGGCGATGGGCCTTAAGAGGAATGGAAATGGATGGTAGGACGGTAGGACGGAGGCAGGAGATGATGGGTGGTGCACCAGCCAACAGGACTGCAGAAGAAGTTGTGGAAAAAATTTTGAAATTGCATTTCAAATGAATAGACGAACGAAGGGGGAGAGAGAGAGAGAGACTCGAGCCCCCCTCCCTGAAGAGTGAATTGAGTAGGGGGTGTGGGGGTGCTACATACATATATACAGCGACAGTCGTCAGTCAGGGAGCAAGGGGAGTGGGGGAAGTGGAGGGTGGGCAGCTACTGGGTTCCATTCGCTGGTAGGTTCGCTTTGGCTTTGGCTTTGGTGCTGTGCCCAAAAAATGCCATTGAACAGCAAACGGATGCTGTGACGATAGATGGCCTCTGTGCTACAGCCCCATCCCAATCCAGGACACTCCAGGACTTCCCTCTGGTTATGTGAGTGTCATGCATGGCTAGCGAAGCATTGCGATGCGATGCGATGCGAGGAGCAGCCTCATCCAGGCAGCCATTTTGATGCAAATGCAACTCAAAGTTGTGGTGTGTTGGTTGTGTTGCAGTGAGGCAGGGTCAGTAGCCCAGCCCCTAAGATGCAGGAGCAGGAGTAGGAGCAGGAGTAGGAGCAGGAGTAGGAGCAGGAGCAGGAGTAGGAGCAGCAGCCAGTTGCTGTAGGAGTTGCTGCTGGGTGATTATTTTGCCTTAATGGCATGCAAATGCAAATGCAAAATGACTTTGCTCAGATTTCTTGCACGCCCCACAAGAAAATCTCTCCGCAAAATGTCTGCACTCTGTGGCCATGGGATCGGATTTCTTCTTGTGGCATGTGTGGCACAGCAGAGTGGGCTGCACAGCTGCAATTTCTTCAACGAAATAAACCCACAACTGGTTTTAATTTAAAGTTTTGCATGTGCTGTTGTTGCCCCATTGGCTGTGTATCTAATGCCTAAATACAATCCTCTGAGGCATGCCTCCTCTGTTGGTTGCAAATGCTGCATTCGTTGCCTGATTGTTGTTGTTTTTGTTTTTGTTTTTTTTTTGGCTCGTTTTTCGCTGGCAACTTTATTTGCTTTGCACTTTTCGTTGAATTGTTTTGCCATTGCGGGCGCTTCTCTATTTCCGCTATCCGCTTTCTGCTCTCTGTTTTCCCTTTCTGTTTTCTCTTCTCCCTCTTCCTTTTCTCTCTCTCCCTGTCTCTCCTCTCTCTCTCCCCCCTTTGTGTGCTGTTTATTTTGAGTGGCAAGTGGCAAGTGGGCATCGTGTGCCCGCACATTCATCGCATTTCTATTAGTTATTTGTTTTCTGTACGTTTTTGTAATTATTTGCCCGCCTGCCGCATGCTAAATTGCCTGAGTAAATATTTGACAATTTTTCATTTGGCTAAAGCGCAGCAGCAGCGCGCCCCACGCAGCAGTTGCCACAGCCTAATGACGGGAGGTGATGATTGGAGCGAGTGGCAGAGGAGTAGGCCTTGTGTGTACTTTGCTATTCGGTTCGATTAACCGACCGACCGCCCAAGCATTCAATTGACTTTGCAGTGCAGGGAAATCAATCTGCAGATCGATGGAGCATCGCTGGAGATTTGCCTCTCTAAGATCTAAGCTCTGTATGTAAAATATTTTGCAATTTGCATTTCAATTAAATGCTTCAACTCACCCAATGGCAGGGCGGGGCTGGGGCAGGGCCAGGGCAGGGCAGCATGAAATCTCTGTGAAATATCTGCAAACAGAAGAACAGTTTATTCCATTAAAATAATTGAATAACTTGGCAGCAGCAACAGCTGCCACATGAGAGACAGAGAGAGAGAGAGAGAGAGAGAGAGAGTAAGAGAGAGAGAGTAAGAGAGAGTGATAAAATATGGCTTAAGTAAATCCCCCATCAAAATGTGCAGCAGGAGGATGTGGGGCAAAGTTATTCCAACGTTAGAATTATATTCTCCATGTGTGTCCATGTGTGTGTGTGTCCATGTGTGTGCGTGTTTGGGTGTGCGTGTGTGTGTCTGTGTGGAGCGTGCAACTTTTTGTTTTGTTGCAGTTTTTTGATTGAGTGACTGAGCATAATGGAAATAATGGAAAATTTGCCATGCGAGTGCTTCCTGTTCCGTCCCCCTCCCCCCCACACACTTCTCAGCCGCACTGTTTCCGGTGGCGGGAGGAGAGTGCATTCGGCCGCCAGATTAGGGGTATGTGGCACTAACAAAAGGATATGCCACAGCAGCCCGGGGGCCGGCAGCAGCAGTTGCCTTTACCATCGAATCTATGGAGTCGCCTAAAAGCTGGCAACGCTTTTTTTCGCCCACGAATTTCTTTTCTTTTGCTTCGACGTCTCGTCTAGTGCTCCCTGCCCCTCTGCACCACTCGGTGGCAACTACATCAAAATGCATTTTGGCCAAAAATTGTTTCGGCTACGAGCCGCCTGCCGCCTGCCGCCTGCCTCCTCCTCCTCCTGCTCCTCCTGCTGCAGGAAGAATCCCAAACAAAGCATCGGGAAGCACTCGACAAAAATTGCAAATTTACAATGGAACGCGTGGAAGGGGGCAGCGGCAGCGGCAGCGGCATGGCTGAGTCCATGGATTCGTTCATTTCATCTTCTATCCGCGAATCCGGCAGCCCGTTGCCGCCCCCTCGCATAATTTGTATGCGCGAGCCGCATAACTGTCGTCCATTCCACTGCCACTGCCACGCCTGCCACGCCTGCCCACTGCTCCCCTTCTCCTTCTCCTTCTGCAGACTCCATGGGAATCAGTGCACTCTACCGCTGCCCTTCCTCGCCTGTCCACATGTCCCTGGCGAAATTACAATGAAGAAAAATTGCATTGCCGCGCGGAAAGGGGCACAGAAGACGGTGGGGGTGGTGGTGCGGGTGGGGGGAGGCAAGTCTCAAATCCCTCAAGGCAGACGTCTGAGTGAGCAGTTTTTTCCACGCTATGCGGCACACACGACACGGGCCATGCGGCACGTTACGGGCTAGACATCGTCACGTTAGCTGCTGCCCCCACCCCCCTCCCCACCCAAAATGTTCATCAAATCAACGTTGCAGTAGCAGCAGCCAGCCAGCCAGCCTGCCTGCCAGCCTGCCACTTCTTCTGCTTGCACCTGCCACTCCTACAGCTGCTGCTGCTGCTGCTGCCTGCCTGCCTGCTGCCACTTTTGTTGCAACGTTTTATGCATTTTTTCAGCGTCTGCAATGGGCAACGTCTGTTGTTTCAGGACTCGAAGACAAATGCCACAGTATTAAGGCCTCTGCCATGCCACCCCCCCCCGTTGCCGCTGCGCCCACTTCCCCGCCAGACGCCAGAGATGCTGCACACAAAAAATTGCCAAGCTTAACAATTCGCGTGGATTCTGGACTCGGGATTTCCATTTTTTGTGATCTGTCCCGCGTACGTGCCTCCTCCCCTCCCCCTCTCAGCCAGAGGCAACTGCAGCAGCAGCAGCAGGAGGAGGAGCAGGAGGAGCAGCAGCTTTCCTTTGCAACCACTCACGCATCCTATCCACCATTCGTGCCACACCATCGGCCCATGTGCCCATGCCCATGCCCCTGCCAGCGACTCGTTCGCAGGCCGCGCCTCTTGTGCAATAAATACAAAATGCAGAAATGCCAGGCATCTTCAAGTTGCCACCCCCTCGTCCTGTGCTGTGCCGGTCCGGGCCCCAACGGAGTCGCATTTTTTGCACTGTATGAATTGCATTTGCCACCCGCTTCACTGCCTCACTGCCTCGCCGCCTGCTCCTGCTCCATCTGAGGCAGGCGTCTCGACGACGACGAGTCTGTTGATTTGGCATCGCTGCAGCAGAGCAGAGCACAGCAGAGCCCAGTAGTTGGGGGGGGGGCAGTGGCAGTGGCAGTGTCCAATGTCCAATCCAATTCCATTGCCCGGGCCTAACAATGTGCATCCTGCGACTGGTACTGCGGGGTCTGCGGGGTCTGCGGGGTCCCTCCTCCCGCTGATTCGTCGTCCTTCTCTTGGTTGCTGGCTGCTGGCTGCTTGGTTTGTTTTGCTTTGTTTTTAGTTTTTTGGCCCTGGGATGAGTCCCAGTCGCAGTTGCTTTTGGCTTTTGTCCTTTTGTGCCATTTTTACTGCAGCCTCTGCTGCTGCTGCTGCCTTGCTGCATTTTTTCTTGCTGCCTTTCACTTGGAACTGAAGTAGAGAGCCCACCCTCCCACCCCCGCCCCGCTCACGCCTGCTCGTGCTGATCCCTTCATACAGCGTTGCTGCAGTTTTTGATTTCACTTTTTCCCATTCCCCGCCCGCGCCGTGCGAGTGCGAGAGTCCTCTTGGACTTGGGCTGCTGCTGCTGCACTGTGTTTCGATTCGTACCCGCCACGCCCCTTTGGCGTCATGCAACACTTTGGCGTATATGCTGCAGACTTTTTTTTTTGCCTGCCCCATGCATCCCCTTCTGCAGCAGCAGCAGTAGGCAAATAGCAACATTTTTTGCTCGCGACTTTCTATTTTCCAGAGCTGCAGAGTTTTTCGCTTTGTCGTGCCTCTCCTGCGCCACCCTGTTGGAGTCCTGCCTGCCTGCCTGGCAGTCGCTTCTGCAGCTACACTGGGCGACAAGCGACTGCACTTGCACTTGCACTTGCTCTTCCACTGAGCGAAATATCTAACAGAAGGAGGCAACCGCAGCAGAAGAAAGGCAGGAAGCAGCTTCTGGTCTCCTCCCTTGATTGGAACTCTTTGCTCTGCCGCTGTGCGGAAATCTTCAGTGGCAAGGATCGAGGCATGATCGAAACCAGTTGCAGTTCCATTTCCATTTCAAGTTCACAGTCCAAGGATTAGTTCATTCGTACGTGTCCTGGATTTGAGAACCAGAACGAGGCAGAACCAAGAGACAGTGGGGCAGGGGGAGTGCTGTGCCCAACAAAAGCAAAACACATTGCTGATTGCATTTGCTTTGTCTGCCCCATGCAGCCCCCCCTCCCCACCATGCACCATGCCCGAGTCTCAGTGTCTGCCTCGATGCCTTCCTCTGCCTCACTCTCTTTGCCTCTGCTGCGTGTGTTTGTGCCCCCAACTGCAGTGCCAAAAAGCAAACTTGTTGTTTGCGTTTTGTCGCATCTCATCCTCGTCCTCGTCCTCATTCTCGTCCTGGTGCTCATCCAGCGACTGCTGCTTTTGCGCCTACTGCCTCCTGATGCCTCCTGATGCCTGCCTCATGTGCAGTCTTATGATGCTGACAGTTGTCGCCATTGCTGCTGCTCCACACAGTCCCCCTACTGCTGCAGCAGCAGCAGCAGCAGCAGCAACGTTGCCATTTTGAAATGCAATGCAGGCGTGGGATGGGAGGGGAGGGGCTGGGCTGGGCTAGAGAGTGGTGGCAGGTGGAGAGGGTGCAGGACAGGCAGAGAGAGAGGGAGAGAGCCAGGACATTTCATTTCTGAAGAATTGCTTTGTCGGCCCGGCAACGTCCACGTCGTGGGGCTCATCCAAAACAACAGCAACAGCAATGGGGCAACAACAGGAGGCAGGAGGCAGCCACACATTGCATTTGCCTCTGGCCAGGGCTCCGCATCCTGAGGCAGCGAGTGTGGGGCGGAGCGTTGGTCCCTGCCAACTGCCAACTGGCAAAGGAGTGGCTCGCCTTGCTTGCCCCACGTTGCACAAATGAAATTTTGCATTTTCAATTTTTTGAAATAGGCTTTTCCTATGCCCCATGCCACATGCCCCACCCATCTCTTGCAGCTGCAGCACTCGGTCGTCGGTCGTCTGCCGTTGGTCGCTTGTCCTTGTGGCAGACACAAGCACGAATGTGGCAAGAAAAAAACTTCCCCCCCTCCCTGCCCCTTCTGCTGCTGCTGGAAAAACCTTCGACTTGTTGTGCCCCCCCCACCACTCTTCCTCTTTTTTTTTAGCTTTTCTTTTTCGGCATGAAATTTTATTTCTTCTCGGCATTTGATTTTGTCGTTTTGTCTCCCCTGCCACACAACCACCCTCCCCCCCCTGGAGGTGCTGCAGTTAGTGGAGGGGGTGCGGGGACTGGTGCTGGTGCTGGGGCAGGAAGCAACCAACGATGGCTGCAATTTTTTTCCTTGCCAACTGCACTCGGGGCCCCAATGCATTTCTCTTCCGCAGACTCTTTCATTTCTTTCTTTTGCAGCCCAAGCAGCAGCAGCAGCACAGGAGGGTGCATGCAACAGAGGAGGTGCAGAGGGGCAGTAGGGTTTGCTGTGTGCGCACTTGCTATTCAAAATGGTGGCCATGCCATGCATTTTGGATTTTTATTTTTATTTTTTCCTTTGCGTTTGCTTATGTTTTTTCCCAGTTTTTTCTCAGTTTTTTGTTCAGTTTGTTTCCATGGCTGCCCGCTGCTGCCCGCTGCCATTGCTGTGTTTGCTCTTTGGGCCCTGATTTGTTTGGTTTCTTTTGCCCTGTTTTGAGCTGCAGCTGCAACAAGGCAGGGGAAGGGGAGTGTGGGCTGCGGGCTGCGGTGTGCGGGGTGGTGCAAGCAATGCAGTTATATATAGCCAACACGACAAGGGAGCAGGCAGTGGGAGAGCAAGGAGCGAGGAGCGGCAGTTGCAAGTGCAGTTAGCGCACGATATTCTCACCATTTCTTTTTCTTTTTCTTATTTTTTGTTTTTTTTTTGGAGAGTTGCGCTCAAGGGACCGGCGCCTGCAATCGATAAATTGAAGAATGCCCCCATCTCTAACCCCCTGCCATGCCCACTCTCCCAAGAGACAGAGAGAGAGAGAGAGAGAGAGAGCGGGAGAG